ATCCTGCAGGCTGTGGATCTTCAGGCGCTGGTTTCACTATCACTAGTGCCGGCAGCTGAACTGCTCAAACCCGGCTGCAGCTGCTGCTGCTACTGCCCCCACCAGCCTTGCAAGCCCCGCAGGTGACCTGGAGGATTCGCACCCGAGATTGCCCAATCCAGAATATCTCTCAAGGTCACCCTAAGCCTAGTTCCTCCTTTCACGCTGTCTGTTGCACTGCATAAGGCATACCCTGATGATGGCGCGAGCTAGATCGCGGGTTGGACCTCAGGTGTTTGGATGGCACTCCTACAGTAGATCCCACAATAGAAGAACCATGTACGCAGCTCCTGCGCATAGGATCTCAAGGCAATCAACACCTTAGAGGACTGGCATTCCATCAAACAACAAGCAATACAGATCAAACCTACCAATATGAACCAGCACTTGAGACACCTGAAAGCCCTCCTTCCCCTCCGGGCGTTTCGGGCCAAGCTGAGCTTAGCTCCAGAGACTTCTCTAAGCTAGCAGGCATGCTTTGGCCTGGGCAAATCAGAACGGCGGGAGCAGGCAAGCAAGAACGCTCGCGTTGTCCTGCAGATCAATGTCAAGGTTTTTCTTTGATACAGCTGTCAAGTAGACCGGTCCTTGTTGTTTGCGGCTTCTCCGCCGCCGGCTATGTCCAACTCTTCTGCAACAAGCTGTTCGAGTGATTGGTAACCTTAGCCGGGATAGCCGAGGTTCGAGCTGCAAAAATCGCAGTTGATGATGCTGTGCACGCGAACCTACAAATCCGATTGCTCGCGGCTGCCCTGTGCAAGGCCCGGGGGCAGTCGGCATGTGCCAGTCGCCGAAACACCGATTCAGCCTTCAGGGTCACTCCAAGGGTGTAACAGTCCGAAACCTCTCAGGGTGCCCATGGGTGCCCCAAGTCTGCGGACGCCTCTTCCTCAGAGCGCGTTCGGAAAAGGCCATCGCTGGCCAGTCCCACCAGCCTCAGTGAGTGCATCTGCCCGACTGCCCAGAGTGGCTAGAAGCCCAGAGCAACCACAGCAGATGTTGCAACACCTAATCGACAGCTGGCGCGTGGCCCAGCTTTCGTCCCGTCCCTTTCCAGGATCATGTTGTCCGAGAGTGCTGGAACAAGATCGGCGTAGTCCTTGATTCCACAGTAGCCGATCGCTCGGGAAACCCCGAGAACACCGTTGACTCGGTGGCCGCTGCCCCCGTACTCCACGAAGCCCCCGGCTCTATCGATCCTGGCCATCTCCACGGGGTCGCTGACCCGGTGCGCGTGGGTCATGAAAAGCTGGGAGGCGCTCTCCGGGCCGATGCCCGTGTGCTCGAGCTTCCTCCACTCCCCGACGAGCCCAGTTCGAGAGTCCCCGATGTTCGAAACCACAGCGTGGCATCCATCAGGGCTCAACAAAGCCACGGAGGCCGTCGTGCCACACAAATCCATGTTGTTCTTCTTCTGCCGGAACTTGATGTACAACCTATCCAAACTCTCCAGCGCCTGCTGCAAGCCGCGGGAGGCCAGCCTCCAAAGCGGCAGACCCTCCAAACCTGCAGCCTCAGCTTCCGTGTCTCGCAGCATGCGCCGCACCTTCGGGCAAACCAGATACATCACGATTGCCAGAGCTTCTAAATTGAGTGAGTAGTGACTAGTGCCGCACCTCGTGAGGCAAGGACTGCGCTGCAAACTTCGCACAGTCCATGCCGCCGTGACCATCGAACATCCCCAAGAGCCTCCAGGATCGGGCACCCTTGTGGACATTCCAAGCAATGCGGGCATGGCAGTAGTAGTCCTGGAGAGACGGGCGGCGGCCCTGCGTCTGGCCGACGCAGAACGTCGCTTGCAGGCTGGATTTCAGGTTCGACCTCTTCGAGAAGACCGACATGTCTTGCTTGCGGAACTTCTTCTTCCGGAGGTGCTCCATGACCACGCGCGCGGTCATGACAGCTCCGATACCCAGGAAAATGCTGAACACGATAGGACGAGGCTCGGACGGCTTGGGCTGGAAGCGCAACGCATCCAGGACCTCTTGCACTTGGGACAGGGAACATCGCCCGTCTCTGCTGGCCAGCATTTTCTCCAAGATCCGCACAACCGGAGGCAGCTCTGGGCTCTCCTCGGCAAACCTCCGCAAGTCACCGCCTGTGGCATATCGGCCAAAGAGTATGCGGACGAAGACTTCTCCCAAGCTGTAGACATCGTCATCCCGGGTATAGGGTAGCTCCTTCGTCACGAGAGAATCCACATCGATGAAGTAAAAATCCCCTAAAGCTGCGTGCCCCTGCTCTCTTGCGGAACTCCGGTTCACCAGCGCGATCCCGAAGTCCGCAATGAGAGCCGTGCAGCCGGCGCTAAGTAGGATGTTCGCAGGCTTCAAGTCCCGGTGCTGGATGCCTGCGTTCGAAACAGTGTTTCTCTTGCATCTTTGCGCGAGGCCAACTACTTCGTGCTTCCCGGCCTCGGTCATGGACGTGTTGCAATCCCGAAACGAGCTGCCGCATGATCCGCAAAGCTTCATCAGTTAGCTTGGGCTGCGCATAGTTCACGTCGAAGGCATTGCCATGCTGTTGATTTATCCATTGCTGCAAATCACCGCCCAGGGCCAGCCGGTAAACTAAAATCACTTCGCGCGTCCCTTTTCCCTGCTCGAGCGGGGCCAGGAAGTAGGCCTTCATCTGCACAACGTTCGGATGTTCCCCCAAGTGTGTTGCTGCCTCCACCTCGTTCTTTGCAGTGGCCACAGCCAGCTTGTGTGTCGGGGCAATACGCTTAATTGCCACCAGCTCTCCTGTCTCCTTGTTAATTCCACGCGCAACAATTCCAAACGCACCCTTGCCGAGGACAACTCCATCCTCCTCCCAAAGATGAGGGTCATGCTTAGACTGCGCGATGTCTGCCCACTCTGACGGGACTCCATCTGCACTGATGTGTAGTTCGGTCTCTTGTGACATAGAAGAGTATCTCGCTGGCACCAGCGGTCGTCTTGGCCGCGATGACGGCGGCAAATGAAATGCCCAAAGCTGCACGGGAAGGAGGCACAACGAGATCTGTGCAGGGCAGAATGCACACGTGTAAAGTGCAATGCTCGTCGGCTCTCGTCGCTGTTGTCACACAGATTGTTCGGTCCTCCCGGCCTGCCAAACTGGCAGCATCATCTTCGGCATCCACCTGAAACGCAAGGAGAGCAGACGGAAGCACCGGTGGCTCGCCTGGAATCGGGAAGCGCTTGTCATGTGGTGTGAGATAATTATGGCACGAACGGAAAGGGAGTATTTCATTGTGCATTTGAGAGAGGCTTTGGCCTCAGAAGGAATGGTGCTCAGCGCCGGGTCACCTCGAACACGAGATCCAGCAACTCCTCAACGCCATGGCTCTGCAAAGACGAGGAATCGTAGAATGCAGCCACATATTTTGAGGACTTTGCATTGAGCTCATGTTTTGTGCGCCTGCTGTCTGGCGGTGATGCTGGCGATGCTTTGTGTACCCCGTGTACAAGACATGTGTGTCGACATGCATGCAGCCAGTTCATGACGTCTTGAGATCGAAGTACAAATAAAGCCAATACCAAAAATCAATCGGAGCCAAGTGCTAGAGATTGACAATGGTTGACAATTCATGACGAACATTGCAGACCGGTGTCAGCGTCTCTTGGCAGAGACTAGCAGCATATCTCTGCAGATTGTTGCTGAGCTCTACAAGCCTCTCCGGTTCAAAGACGCCTAGCTTCGACGCAAAGAAGAGGATGTTTTTTTCAAGCATGTTGCAAGGCTGATGAAGTGGAGAAACCAAATGTTATGTTGAGGATCCAGCTTTTGCTCCGATGCACGAATGTAGCGGGCACAATCAGACTGCCAGGGCAGCCACTTGGAGCCCGCTGAGCAAGTGAGACCATGAACCGCTCCCTTCGCCGCGCGTGTGGCGCCGAGAGTACACAAAAGGAGCCGGATAAGGTCAGCTCTTTCCCGACCGGCTCCGGCAATGCAGACTGATTCCATGTTGATGTGAATGTGGGCCTTGTTTCAACAAATCTGGACCAGCAGAGTGTCTGCAGACCCATGACTTGTTCCCTTCGATGCTTACAGGCTGGCGAGGTGGCTAAGCAAAGCGCAAGCGGCCTAGGCCGCTGTGCGCAAGCTGGTCGGGTCGATTGCGGTGCCTCAGAGCCGGCAAGCCTCACGTGGTGCCGGCACAACTGTGGGATACAGGCTGTTGGCCCCCGGGGCATGAGGGAACGCGAAGCAAACTGCAAGCTGTCAGTGCGCTCTCGCCTGAAGGGCATGTGGCGGGAGCACCAGGCGCTCTCCACCGGCAGCCTCGAGGACTCAGGGAAAGAAAATCCAAATGACGGGCTTCAGGCAGTTAAAAGCATTGCATCAGCCCGACGTGTGGCAGCACGGACGTCTAAAAATGTTGGCGAGCTATGCACTGCTGATCGATACCGGGGGGCATAGGCGGCTTGATCCACCAGCTTGTCATTAAAGCGTAAAGCCTGGCAGAAACATGTCGAGAAAATGTGTGGTATATACTTCTGCATCTGCAACCATGGCATGCCTCACCCTTGAGAGACTTCACCGGTTGTTGCAAAGACACAGAGGACCTGCGCACAGCCACCCAGGATAAGCCAAAGTCTCAACCGCATGGATGACGTGAGACTTCTCGTCGTGGGTGCATTCGTCGCAGAGCATCGTTCTGTACAAGTCTCGATCTCGGTTGCCCTGCAAACTGTACGCAGGACTTTGCCGAAAGCAGTCAGGGGGCCCTTCATCTGGTGGCGGCCGCCGGGCTGAATCAGACGGCCAGGGAGGGACCCCTCGCACACTCTGAACTTGAATTGATTCCTGCCTTGCTCAGGGCTCAGGACTGTTGGGGCGCTACATTGGGCAGCTAATCTCCGCTACTCAATCTCAAACCACATTATCAGGGAACCGCGCTCACCTGCAAGCAGCTTCTCAGTCTGATGCCACTCCTGGCCCACGAGCTGTAGATGGGTGGCAACGACAAAGGTGTCGACAGAACCGGAGTGCCTTGGAAGAGTGGACGACAGCCAAACCCACCTGCACGAATCACATATTGCACCAGATCAGCAACAGCACGTGGACAAGCCCAGAACGTGAACCTGATGCTCGTGGCAGTAGGATGGATCCACTGCATCTTCACTGGCGTAGAAGAAGACCCTGCGCCCCCAAGCACCAGCAAACTCACATCTGAGCGCTTCAACTGCATCTCTGAACAACCGGTGTGGTGCCAGCGATCCTGATCAGCTCCCGAAGCTGGTCTAGACGATAGATCAGACCAGACAAGAACAAGTGCTGAGGACTTCCACAGACACATCAAGCATCAAGGCGAAGGGCATCTTGCGGAAAACCCACAAAGAGCCAACAAAGCAGTCTACAGCTGCCAAAGATAGCGGGCCAAGGTCAGCAAAAGGGCCTGGATCCGCGCAACATAGCCGTCCGCTGCAGACACACCTTTGCATCCACGGGCACGGCAGACGACAGGAAGACCACAGAATTCTAAGACAAGGTTCGCCAAAAACACTAGCTACTGCAGAAGGAATAACAGCAAGTGCACCACAATCCTTCCAGGCATCGCACATTGAGTGTGAGAGCGTACTTGTCCACGTGCCGCACAAAGGTCTGCCAAGTCAGAAGTGCTCGAAGGCAACAGCCCTTCTGCAAACTTAGCTGCCTACTCATGTAGCAGACATCCCTTCGTCGTCGAAAGCATGGCAAAGTCACCAATAGCAGTGCCTACAGCAACCCCTGCCTGTGCAACTGCATGTACGCAAGAGTGCAAGGTAGAAGAGGCAACGTCCCCCACTTGTCGGACTGCAGAAACGGCTGGAATTTGTCGGACAGTGTCCCTAGAGGCTGCAACGGCAATGAGTCGGTACATCTTCATTGTGATGTACGAGTACAGCAGAGTTGCAGGAGCAAGATCCTCCCAGAGACCAGCCTCTTCTCTGGATGCATAGTTCTTGGTGCGGAAGGCGTGCCGCAGTCGAACTCCCTGTCCGTCCGCATTGCACACTGCCGCTTTCTCCGCACTCCCGGGCTCAAAAGATCTCAGCCTCAAAGCCCAGTGCAGAGTAGGCCGGCAGCGCTGCCTGGCAAAGAGGTCCTTTCCTGTCCCTGAACTGCCCCGCTCGTCACGGGAAATCATGGCGGCAGCTCCGCCGTGACTTGGCTCAGCAGCTCTGGAAAGATCTGCGAGATGTCAAGGCAGCCATCATGCCGCACTGGCATCGGCAAGCCCTTCTCCTGCCACTGCGAGCGCCGTCTCCACACGAAAGCCCTGGCTTGTCAAGCATCTGGTCCTCCGCTTGTGAAATGTAGTTTTCCGTCTCAGCCCAGATCCTGACCATATACAAGTGCCGAAGCAGACATTTTTCGGCACAAGCTGGCCCAACATGTCCGATGTACCCACAAATCACAAAACACGAGAGACCTTGCGAAGCGACGGAATGGGATTGGTCCTCCTGCAGAGGTCCGCGCCCAGCAGCTGGAACACCAAAACTCCAGGCAGAGGCTCCTCCAGCAGAGCCGGGGTTTTCTTGGAGGCTTCGGGAGATGCTGGCACCCCCTGCCCAGGTTGCAGTTGTGAAGAAACAGAGTTTTGTCCATCTCGTCTCATCTCGGATTTTATGGGTATAGAGCTTAACGCTCTACGCTTTCAGCGGCTCTGTGGCGGCTGGAAGCAACTTGTGTCAGCCTACACCCTGCACCCCAGCGTCCTTTCTTTGAGAAAGGTACGCAGTGTTAGTGCAGATCCTGTAACGGCTGCAACTGAAGACAAGATGCAGGCACTCCACCATCAGAGATTGTTGATGCCTGAAAATTGGCGCCCAAGCGCTGATTAATTCGCCGTCAGACGCAGGCGAATCCCGGTGCTGACCCCATGGAGCCACGAGGGCTCGCCGGAGGGCTGTCCTACTCTACGCAGGATTCCGCAGCCGGTGCGGCACCCGCACAACAAAATCTAGGCTTCGCACACCAAAAGCTAGCTCCAAAGAAGCGATTGACACACGTCCCCGTCAGGCTTTCTGGACTCTCTTGCCACTAAGTTTGCGCTTTTCTGGGTGCGAGGTCCCTCAAGATCACTCTTTAAACTGGTCACTGCAGGCACCTAGCGGAGGACCACCTGTGCCGACACATGACTCAGCATTTCGCTTTCGCAGAGTCTTTCCGGGCTCTCATACTGCCCCATAGTCCTGCTTTTTTCTACAGGCTTTCGCAATTCGGCCTAGTGCGGCTTATGGCTTCTGTAAACGGTCTTTCAGGGTTGAATATGTCGCTGCTTGTAGTCTAGAGAAGCAGTGCTTTTGGACGTCGAGCTTCGACGTGTTCCCCGGATGTGACGGGGTCTCATGTTTCCCAGCCCGGCCCCTTACAAGAATGATATTACTGTGCTGGTCACTGGCTGCCCGCGGACGGGCCGAGGGCCGAAAGCAGTGCGAAGGCGAAAAATGGCGAACAGCCAGGGATAGGCAGGCAAAAAGACCGTGCCTTCATGTCTGGTGTTTCTGACTGAAGCTTTGCAGCTGTTGAGCTACGCCCAATCTATCACAAAATGGGTCAAAGACCCGCTGACACATACAAGTACGTGTCATCAGCAATCTGGCTCGTATCAATCAAAAGAAACACTGAGTCCCGGGTGCTTCATGACCACTGCCAAGTATCCGCTCGCACACTGAGGGATCTTGGCACTCAAGCGCCGAAACCTTTGAGCAAGCTTCAGGCCCTCTTTGAACGTACGAGATCTCACGACTGACCTGGCCTATGCAGCCTCCCAAGAGTCCTAACATTTGTGTACCCCGGTCCGGTGTTCCATGCCACTCCTCTTGTCGTGCTTTGCAATGTTTGCTGCAGGCCCTCGTGCAGGAAGGGTGCCTTTCCGCGCCACCGGAGAAGTCCACCTGAATTACAGGCATCATCTCATATTCTCAGACATGATCTCACACGGCGAGCACAGCAGGTAGGTTCGGCTGGGGCGCCGTGGCAGTCGATGCATCGCCACCGTCCCTGGGCCAGACACTGAAGGTGACCTGTACGAGTAGGGCACTCGTGGGGCTCGGAACACACCGAGGGGCCTGGCCTGGCGCCGGTCGAAGTCGCAGGTGACCTCCAGCCAATCTCCCAGCTCCAGCGCTTTGATGCTCACGTGCGACCTTTCCACGTCCGCGTCCGCTCCTCAGCTCGGGTCCACCCAGGTCCGCCCACTTTTTCCTCCGCTGCAAGCCGAGAGGCGCATGCAGATGCGACCCGTCCTGTTGGCGAAGATGGAAACGATCTTCCTCGGCCACAGCAGATCACGGCAGAGCCGCCAAAGCATTGTGCTTTCTTGGTCCACCCAGCTCACATGCAAAGCACATGCCTAGTTGGACGAAGGTTCTGAATGTTCTGCGGGCAGGGCAGCTGCGATGAGAAGACGATGCCAACACCGTCAGCGTTGCTGAGCTCTCCGTCGGTGAAGCGGAGGCAGTAGCGCTCCACTCCCGACTGGTGCAGCCCTGGCTGTTGGGGGACATGGACAGGGCTGTACCAGTTACGGGGTGGGAAGTCGACCGTAGCGCTCTGGCAAGTCAAACAGTTTTTGAACAGGCGTCTGTTCTCGGACACGATGGACAGGCGGCCCTTGCTCTTGGTCTTCGTAAAAGTTCTGCATTCCTTAGCATTTCTCATGGATACAAACCCCCTGTTGGACAAGATGGCTTCGGCCGCTTCCGTCCCTCGTAGCTCGATGCTTGGCAAGTTTCGGAGGAGAGGTGTCCAAGCTGAGCAGCTTTCGGATGGAAAGCATGAGCAGGCTGACAGATCTCGGGCGTGTTGTAGTAACCCTGGTCCCAGGCACCGTTTACCACAGCAGGACAGCATCAACAGCCAATTTCCACGTGGGAAGCCTGAGAAAACTGTACAGTCGCTGCTGGGATCATCATCACCATCGGCTGCAGGGGTTGAACTGGCTGCACCGGCTGGACAATCTGCACCTGTCCACCTGGCTCTTCATTGAAAGCGATGCCCGCCCGCATGCCGATGGCATGGCAAGAGAAGCTCCGAGACTACACACTGACATAAAGCTGAGGAACCCATCAGGGAGGGCTGCGCCATTTGTTGGACAAGGCCATTCACAGGGAGTCCTGTCGGCAAGGGTCTCGGACATACAAGTGAGTTTGGTCATGGCCAATGTCCTGGACCCCTGGTCTCTGCCGGCTGCACGATCATCATCTGCTGCGGTGGATATCCAACAGCCATCTCCTAATCAGTGCAGAAGGGGCGTCCAGACAGCTTGAGTGGGGTTTAAGGTTGAGGGTTTAGGAGCATCACTCACCTTGGCCCCCACCTGTGCAGAAACGGACGACACTGGGCTTGAACACTCCGACTTCCCCGAGTTCATCTTCTCCCACACCTGGCGCTTTCATTATGAAATATAGGAGACACAACAGGCAGCATGCCTGCCTTGGCCCAGGAGAAGCTGTTACCTCATTAGGTCATATTCACAGCATGGACATGTGAGCTGTTGCTTCCTATGTTGCTCAAGTCCCGAAACATTGCCGAGCGGCCAATAGAACCTTCGGTGTCCAAGGGCTCTTCCTGGATTTACAGAGTCCCACGCGGCTGCTTTAGGACTCGGCAATCAAGAATCACAATCGCATCGTGGCGAAGGCTCTCTATCCCTGAGGGTTCTGAAAAATGCGGGTCCCTGAGGGTTCTATATTCAAACCCCCCTGTCGTCTGAAACTCCCATGCTATCATCTCCGTTTCTTCCGCCTCGGAACCTCCCCGGTCAGGCCTCCTTCATCTCGGAAGATTCCAAGTCGAGCGGGTTCCATGGGAAGCCTCCACTAGGAGCAGGGCCTCGGATCTGGGGTTCAGGACGCGTTTGCTTCGTAGCGCTCGGGGAATTTCGAATCAGGGTAAGGCTCAGTGAGGAAGGGCTGTGATTTCTGTATCGGGCCTTACCACACGAGCGGATGCCTACTTCACCAGAAGGGCGTGCCAAAGACTGGAGACTCGCGTCTTGCAGCAGGAGATCAATTTCCGCAAGAGGGGTTGAAACTTAAACAGTAGCACCGAAACTGAAATCTGTCAGGATCATCAACACAGGCCCAAAGACTGCAATTGGCAGAAAACGAAGAGCAAGCATGGCATCAGTGACCGACATCTGCCGTGATGCTCGCTTCCGCTGGAGCAGATGCGCGCGAGGACCAGCTCTCTCCCGCCACACCGGTGCCTGTAGGCTGTACCGCAAGCCACACCAGGGAGGCATGGGAGGAGATTTCCAAGCCGCTAGCATCTGATGCTAACGCGGCTCCCCTCTAGCCAGCAACTACCACACACATAGCAACTGCCGAGATCGAGCAACTTCGAGTTTACATCTGGTTGGAGAGAGCAGGTGCGACATCAAATGTCGTCGCTGGTTTAGAAAGTGAGCCTTGCCACACCCTGCCGAAGCCGAGAACTCAAACGTGTAGGGCCGTAGGGTGAAAGGAGGAATCTTTTGGACGAGATCTCTCTGCATCTGGGGAGCACAGGCTCTGGGAGTCCTGCCAAAACAGGAGCGGCGCTGGTGCGGGGCCCTGCTTTGCCAACGACTCCAACGGGCATTTGTGGCAAGAAGCAACAAATAGTCCAAGCTATGCGAGGCGGCGCTTGACCGGCTCCAAGCTTCAGAATTCTGTTGCTTTCCATGCATAATGCGCATGTTGCATGAAGCTTCGGCGTTTGAACCACAACTCCGTCCTCATCCTCACTGTCTGTAGACCTCGAGTCTGAACCAAGCCGAGAAGCAGCTCATGAAGCACGCCGCAGGCACAAAAAAAGCCGGGAACCGGACATGTCAGCCCAGCTGGGCCTCTCCGTCTTGTTCGAGTTGACGGCAACGGACGGCAGGAGCGGCTTCAGCGGCACGGCATCAAGGGGCTTCATTGGCGCGGGCGCGGGCGCCGGAGAAGAGAGAGTTTTGCCTGAATCGCGAATTGCAGCGCTGAGAGCAAAGGAAAAAAACCTGGGGAGCCGCGCCCTTCAGTTGGTAGCGATGACGCAGGATATTGGCAGTCCTGTCGTTGCCTGGGCATCGATTTCGTCTCTGAGACATCGTCCAAAGGGCCGATGCCGCGAGCCTTCGAAGGCTTCCAGAAGGCAATCCGAGTCATCGGGAAGACCAATGTCGTCGAACATGACTTTCTCCAAGCGGCGTTCGGCCCTGACACAAACGAAAGCTTCAGCGGAAGGGCGTGCACAGGCTGCACTGAAGCTCCTCTCTACCGGCATGGTCGCCATGATCGGTTGGGACACCTCAGGAGGACTGGGGCACATAGATGCGACAATGCCAGAGATCATCACCCGTCAGCATTCCTTCGAACATTCTCTCAACTCTGTGCTTTGCCGAGCGCACCACTTGAAGCTCTGAAGTCCAAGGAAGAGTCCACGAGTTGCTGCTAGCTGCAGTTTCGCTGTCGGTGTGATGCATGAAGAGCTGCGTTTGATAAGGTGCATAAAATTGCGTAAAGCTGGTTCTGTGCCAGAGAGCTGTGCGAGCCTGAACAGACATGGCGTCAAAGCCACAACGTCCCTGCATATCCGCGACTCGGAACCTAATATGCCTCTTCTCTCCTGTTTAGCACCGCCCGGTTGAAGCGAACGAATGCATCCATGTCCTCCATGCCGGTGGCCCTGGACCCGGTGACTGCCGGGATCCTGCAATTAGGAACGATGTGGGCCGCGAAGGATCCAAGGAGCTTTGAACCTCTCAACCTTGGCCGCGGCAATGCAACGCGCCTCTGAAATGAGGTCTCCTGAAGCCCTTCATGGTGCGACCTCGGTGCAGCATCGGGAAGGAGCACTCTCGTGAGTCCATTGCAGGCTCTATGGGATGAGATGTCACAAACTCTTGCCTGCAACCCGACCTGTGGAGACTCGTTGCTAACTGGCAGCAGGGGCCCTCTGAACTGAGGTTCCCCAACATGACACGAATAAATGCTTGCATCACCATTACGACGGAAATGCTTCACCAACAACCACTGCGTATGCGTTGAAATCCCCTGATATATGATCATATATAAAGCGGGAGAGTCCAGTGCATTCTCGAGTCTCATTGTTTGCATTGGGGGCTGAAGCTGGGTGAAGCGAGCAAGGTATGTGTTCGGCCCTCCGGTGCCACTGCTCCGATGTGCGCTCATCTGCTAGAATCTTAGAAATCAGCGACAACAGCGTAAACGACGCACATGTTCTGCCGAGCTGCCATTTGACAATGTCCTCGCCTGCCGAATTCTGGAGCTGTCCAAACGCCACTGCCACATCCACCGCAGAATACCTGTCGGTCACAGCCTGCACAAGGTGGCTGCGAATGGCTGCGAAGTTGGACATGTCAAATAAATACTAAAAATATTGGACGGTGACTAGCATGCCCTGCGAGCTATGCTTCAAGTCTACAGCATCCAACCCGTGCTTTGCCCATCAAACGTCGTCAGTACCTGGCGGATGGCGACACCCTGGCGGCAGCAGCTTGAGACCTCGAGTGCATTTCCAGAACAGGCTGACCACAGCACTCTCGCAGCCCACAGCACCTGCTTCTCGCTGATACGCTGCCGCAGGGTTGCAAGGCGCTCTTTGCGACGTCGGCACACCTAAGAAGCTTCCGCGAGAGGATGCGCAAGCCACCAGCGCGTGGCTCAGCCGCAAGCTTCTGCACCGGTGAGAGTCAGTGCAGGCCCGACCTGGCCTAATAGCACAGACGCTACAACGAATCAACCAAAATCTCCTCCGGGCCTCCCAGGCGTTGAAGCACGCGAAGGCGCTGGGAGAGGTTTGTGGGCACCGCCAGGATGACTTGCTCCTGCGGGGCAGCCACGTGCTGCTTATGCACGAACACCTTGCCACGACTTCTAAGATCCTCTGCCAAGTCACAGGCCCGCAAGCCAAAACTGTCGGGCTGCTTGCAGATGTTTGGCCCGCCTGTCTGAGCGCGTGAGGATGTGAGGATTTCGCTTGACACCCATGTTGCGATGCTTGGCACAAAGCCTCGCCTTCCTGAAGCAGCATCTCGACGACTTCCTCTCTGCCAGCACATGCGGCGATGTGCAGTGCCGTCAGCCCACCCTGCCGCTCACGAGGCTCGGGTTCCCAGTGCGGCATGCGAGCATCAGGCTTCGCTGATGAGCCTCGCTGTACAGTGTAGTCCTGGCAGTGCAGAGTCCGGAAGATGTACTTTCGGGGCTGAGCTCCCTTGAGCTCGCGGCGTTTGGCCGAGCTGGTAGCTCGCATCCTCAGTCTGCTGCAGGCAGTCTGCTCGTGCCGACAGCCTCAGCTGCCAGACATGCCAGACTTTGAAAGGCGACTGTTTCATGATTCACTGAACGAGACTTGCGAGATTAAGAATTCTGCCAGAGTTTGCAAAGAACTTTCATGGCTGTCGTCAAGGCAGTCCCAGTCACAGCGCGGCGACACAGCCGCTGCAGCCAAGCTCCGCGGCTGCATGCAGCGGTGCTCGGCCCTGGACGTCCAGCTCCGAACAAGCCTGAGGCCTCTGACAGAGAGACGTTAGAGAGATAGAGAGAAGATGAGGAGCGGAATGAAAAGAAGAATCCCGCGAAGTGGGAGGAACAGCTCGAGCACAGGAAATGCAAGGCCTCAAGGCCTGCAGCACTTCGCGCAAAGCAGCAGGGGCCGTCAGGGCCACAGCTGCGGCCACGAGAGAAGCTCCCTCAATCCTGGTTGCTTCAGCTGCGTAGCTAGGCAGGTTCCAGTTATGACCAAATTGGAAAAGGCGCAAGGCACACATGGCACATGCTGCTTCCTCACTTCTCGAAATTCCAAGCCGTGCCGCCGGAGCTCGTCTGGACCGCGCTCCCGGTGCTCCCCACGCCCCAGCAGCTGGCGGAGTCGCTGCGGATGTCCTCTCGAAGCCGAAACGTTGTTGGAGATTTGGGTTTTTCTGCGCTTGCTGTGGCCCTCGAGTCTTGTTGGACTTTGGCTGTTGGCAGCGCTTTGATCTGTCCGGGGCTCTGAATGGCTTCACTCTTCGCAAGGATGCCGGGTACTACAAACCAATGACATACGAATGTGACAGTCAGAAAGGCACGTCGCGGCTGTCCTTCCTCACACTCTGCACACATCTCCATAAAGTCGGAGGGCCTTTCAGTTTCCGAGCTGTTGCAAAATGGTGCAAAGACTGTGGCCTCGACGGATCGGAAGCTCTTTTCTGCCAGGGAACGCAACGGCGAGCGGGGGCGCCATCAGCGAATCCTTGACTTCAACACAGTACGCGACACCCAGCCTTGAGCCATTTTTGAGGTGTAGGACGTGTAGGAGAGCATGCAGCTGGTCCACACTGTCTGGAGCCAGAAACTACCTTGTGTGTGGAGTCTATCTTTTGCAAGCCTTCATCCGACCTGCAGAGAGATGAGAACTAGATCGCGCCGAGTCCTGGTTCCAGATTCAGAACCATTTGCTGTTATCATGCAGGTTGGATCCTGGAAGCGATGTTCACTTTTCAGGAGCGGCTACACCTTCTTCACCAACCTGACTGCACTGTGGCAGAAGGGCATGTGCGACTGGCAACGTGATATAGCCGAGTCAGAGCCAGCGCTTCTGACACAATCACCTCTAAGCTCGGAAGTACATAGTATGCTTCGTAATGCTTCGTACACACCTCTAGACATGTCACATCTTGTCACAGACCCCAAAGCACCTACTGTGCCATGCCGAGCAGCCTTGTACGGCCACTGCAGCTGTAAAAGTAGAAAGAGCATCAGAAAGGGACCATTCTCTTCACAGTTCGAGAGCCGCCAGCTATACACTGCGCTGGACGCTTTGAGACCCCCTGCCTAAACCGCCCTCGTCCTAAGTTTTGCCCAGTTGCCGAGGCAGGGGATCTATTCCGGAAATTTCTGTGCACGCGTTCTTCGATTTTCTCTACGAGGCAGGCTTGCGATGCACCCCGCTGGGTAACTACGGGCACATTTCACTGGTGTGCCTCTTCCACTCTGGGTGCATGCACATTGGCAAAGCCCACCACTAGCTCGCAATATGGACCTCGGCACAAGCTCATGTTCAATGTGGTTCGTGAGCACGCGCCTGAAAGCTGCACGACTGTCAGTCAGGACCCGGCCGCAGGTGCAATGTGGGTACCGAAAGCCGCACGTGGCGTGATGATATGGCTCGGGATGCCTCGTGAGGAGACGCCGAGCTAAGATTGAAACACCATCAAAGACTGTCACGATCCGCTGCCCATCCGAAGTTGAAGCCGGCCTGATGGCCGGGCTGCGAAAACCTGCAAGCAGCGCTCGCGAAATCCAGGGCTCAGTCGCCTAAGGTCTTGTGTCCTTCGGTCTGAACCGCGATCAGTCTCGAAGGTTGTGGGTGTGCACTTATGCGTAGATAACAACAAAACTAGCCACACGTATGTGTGCATGCGTAACATCTGAATACATGAATATGCATAAGCATATTCGTCCCAGAGTGGCAAAGGAAGAGGGGGTTGGAGCGAGTGGGACGCCGTTTTATGCATGCATGTGCGCATGGCATACATGCATGAACATGCATGCAGATATGCATGCATATACGTACAACTGCTGTTGTACTGTAATCTACTACGTTGTATTGTCGTTTCGTATTGTACTATCTCACATTGCCGTAGATGATGTGGCCTGTAGCTTGTTAGCACTTACTCTATACGAACCAAGCAGCTAACCGGAGCTGAAACCAGATTCACTAGGATGATAAAACAAAACATTTGAGCACATGGTAACATGTAGTAGCATGCAGTACCGTAGCACCGCCTCATCGCCACTTCGGAGTTACGAAATCTCTTGCCTCACTCGGCCGCTGTCGCCAGGGACTGGCGGAGTTCTCACGGCGTGGTGTGGCCAGGACCTGGGCTTCTTTTGCAGTGCCGGGCTTTCCTAGTTTATGATAGTATCTGATAGTATATTATGGTATATTATGGTATAGTAGTATGGTATAGTAGTACCACGAAGCAGATAGGCCAAAATGCGGGATTTGTTGCGGACACTGAGGTATATACTACATTTGGAAGCATTCCAAGATAAGAAACCAGTGTGTTTACCATGTAGACGCTGCGATTTGGAGTACTCTAATCGTCAGCTATCGTAAGGGCTTCTGGACCCTGCACAGCTCACAAATCTGCCATACACAAGCACACACTCGTGCGAAGATGCGGGCGCACACGCTCACTGACACCGACTGATGCGAGAGCGTGCTGCAGACGCCGAAGAATATGAAGGTGAAGATACAGAGCTTGATGAGATGATATAACGTCTGTAATGCGTTCCGCGAAGTAGACGCCTTGCAGATGCGTAAAACACCCAGTTGATGCGAGACAGCCCCGGGACCGAGTATATTATGGTATGTTATGGTGTATTGTGGTATATTATGGTATAGTATTGAAAAGTATAGTTACAGGTGGCCAGAAGTACTCGCTTCGGCCTTGTCCAAAACGAGCCCAGAGTGCTCTGACATCGGGGGACTGCGAGACCAAGATTGCACTATTTTTGGCAGTACAGACAAAACCTGGTCTAGTTGTTTGTCATGGTCCATTTCGTAGCAGCTATACAACTATATACGGCACGATCCAAACTCCTGCAGTTGCTCTCTGGTGCCAATAACTGCATCACTCTCAGATTCTCTGCAGTTCCAGGATCAGGGCGGAGGCAACCAGCTGAGGAGACGAGTTGCCTCCGAGCCAAAGAACCGAAGTCTGATTGCGAAATGGAAAGCACGCGAAGGCAGAAGATGAAAGAAGTCTGGGCCTCCAGGAAGAGGTCGAAAGACTTGCGGCAAGGGCGACGCGGGCATCCATCCGGCGGCTCCCGGAGGCACCTGAAGAGGGCGAGAGGCCAAGGCCTCGGATGCCTTGGCCTCATCTGCTCTGCCCCGGGTCCCCATCCTCTCCGCCCATCCTCTCCGCCCTCCTGGAGCCTGCATGCTGTGCCCGCGCCCAGGAGCCAAGAGCGTCATCGGAGTACCAACGGGACCTGGCTAGTTGTCCCGTCAATCCAATCACTCTACCCCCTTCCCGTCTGCCTTTTTGTGCCGCTCAGCCTACCCCGCGGCCAGCGAAGTGACGCTCGGTCGGTGGCTCACGCGGCGAGGGCGTGCTTCTGACGCGACCCTCGGCCGGTTCCCGACGCTGCGTTGTGTGTGCAAAGAAAGGCGCGGCTTGACTTCAGGATACGTGCGCACAAGCTTGTCCAAGTCTGGGACATCTTTCAGCAAGGATGTCAAGTGGGGATTGGGGACAGTCAGGTACAGATTCGTCTTGGCTCGCGTCAGAGACACATACAGAACTCGACGACCCTCTTCGGCGGCCTCTTCGGTGTCTTGCCTCTTCCACTCCATGTGACCCATGCCCATGACGAAGACTACGTCCCACTCCAAGCCCTTGGCACTGTGCACCGTGGAGAGTGTCAGGGTGTCTCCACTCTCGTTCCTTGCCCTTCCCTTCTCAAGGACGCTTTGATCCAACTGCAATGAATTCGCCATGTCCTCAAGGGAGTCGCAGGAGGCCGCGTAGTCCTCCAACATCTGCAAATCCTCCATTCGGTCATCGAAGTCTTCGGGGTAATTCTCCTTCAAATACACCCGATACCATTCACGAGCATGTCTGACACAGGTTCTTGGATCGGATGTTTTGCTGAGCAGGGATAACAGACCCTGTAGTTTGCTAAGGTCTGGGTAAAACTTCTTCTGTGCCCAAACCTCGGCATCAAGCTGCGGGGGATCCTTCGATTTCACTTGATTGACCACCTTTCGCGCAGTCATGTCACCAACGCCTGTGAACAGGCAGAGTAGTCTTTTCCAATGGATCTCATCAAGAGGATTGAGCGCGATGAAAATGGCAGCCATGAAATCCTTGAAGTGAGCTCGGGATGTAAGCTTCTGGCCACCATATATGCGATGGTCAAGACGGCGTCGCAGCAGTTGAAGAGCCAGTTTCTTTGACGTTTTGTTCTTGCGATATAGCACAGCTATGTTCCTTAGCATGGGAGAGTTCAACCCAGCAACGCCAGGCCGCTGGGCTTTTGGTCTTGTGCTGCTTTTGCGGGCTCGACTGAAAACCATCTTCTATTACCTGCCACGATGCTTGGGAGCTACGCCCTGCTCGAGAAGCTGCTCAATCTTGTCTGCGACCTCAGGTGCTGCGTTAGGGTCACCGCAGTTTTTTTTCCGTCGCTGCGATGTGTCCAAGGAGCCCACAGGGCCTCCTTCCATTCGTCGCCAAAGTACAGCAACTGCGGCAAGGGACCCGGGGCGATGTTTGAGCGCAGAGATTTGCCTTGATCAAATTGGACAAAGCCAGGTTTAATTGGAAGAACCCAGGTTAAAGTTCGCGGGTGTTTGGTGGGGCGTCTAGTAGATGGGCTCTTCAACGCCAGACAAGCAATTCCGACCAAGCTGCGGCAGTGCTTGGTCGACACACTGAGGACAGCATTCGCTAGGTTCAGAATCTGCTGCGTGCTGCGGTAGTTGTCTTCAAGGATGAATTGCGAGCAAGACGAGTACATCTTTGGGAAGTCCCAGATGTTCTCAACTGAGGCTCCCCGGAAGCCGTAGATACTTTGCGCATCGTCCCCCACCGCCAGCACATTTCCGTGCACGGAGCTCAGCCGCTTCACGATGGAAGCCTGGAGGTGGTTCGTGTCCTGGTACTCGTCCACGAGGATATGCTCGCAGCGTCCGGCTTCTTCTTTTCGCACTGTCTCATCCTCCTCGAGAAGCTGCTGGCAATTCAAAAGAAGATCGTCGAAGTCCAAACAGCTCTGGCGCTGCTTCTCCTCCTCGAAAGCCTCCCTGACTTCGATTATTCCTTGTGAAAAGGGTCTGAATTTTTCCTCTTCATCTTCAAGGAGCAGCTCCAAGGGTGTACCGGTGTTTACGCTTTTGCCGAAAAGCTTCATGAGGTCTTTCACCGACGGAAATCTCTTCGAGCGGCCGGCTAAGCCTAGCCGTTTGCGCATCTGGGCGATCATGGCTTCCGTATCTGCTGCATCAAGCACAGAAAACCCGGAAAGGAATCCCATTCGAGCGCGGTACTTCTTCAGCAAGTTGAGGCTGAAGGAGTGAAACGTACCAGACCGCACGTTCTGAATCTGAGCTCCCACCAGGGACTCTGCTCTAGATTTCATCTCTTCTGCTGCTCGTCTCGTGAAAGTAAGGAGAACGATCCTATGGGGTTTAACTTCCTCCGTAGCCACGAGATATGCCAATCTCTCTGTCAGTGTCTTTGTCTTTCCGCTGCCGGCCCCTGCGATGACCAGGTGCGCGCCTCCTGGTGCCTCGGCAGCCTCTCGCTGCTGCTCGTTCATGACCCGAGCAGCGAGCCCCCTCCTCCTGCGCCCCTCACTCCTCCAAGCCACCAAGAGCGACCCGACGACCCAGCGGGCCATGTCTGCCGCCCTGGGAGCGGCATCCCCTGGAAGGACTGTGGAGTGAATGCTGCCCCGGGTATTCTGGCGAATACACCCTACATTCACTTTCCCTGCCACGACCGCTGACCCCACAGCTGTCTGGCACTTCATGGCGCTGCCGGCTGCAGTCACCGAAAGAGCCGCCGACTCCATCATTAAAGGTTTGCCAGTTATGCCTCTCTTCTTTCCACAGACATCTCTCTACTTTCTCACATAGCTTGTTGAGGACTTGAGCATCCCTGTTTCTAAAGATTTCTAAAGCCATAGGATGCGGGGACCACAAAATGCTCGGGCCTAGGGCACGGCCTTGGAGCACAAGACAGGCACCTTGGTGACTTCAGAACCGAGCCTGCGTGGGAGAGAACTCTTGGTGGCGAGGCCAAGACCTGAATCCGGCAAGTGCAACACAACAGCCCTTTGTCACGAGCTCCTTCTGCTCTGCAACCACCTCCGGAGCGGGAGTTTTCTCCGGAATGGCAGAGGTCTTCACCTCGGCAGCAGAATCACCCGCCCTACTCTGTTCCGACATGCCCTTGCCCACTCTCCACCTGACGGAAGACCTGGCGATCTCCAGCTCAGGAACGGCAACTCCTGAAGTCGAAACCATGAACCCCAGCAATGGGCTCCGTACCGAGTCGTTGCTTTCTCCGCTTCCTCAAGACATCTTGCAGGGCTCGGGATTGATGGGCTTGAGACCCTGCCCTCAGCCCTCGTTGGGACAAGGATCGTCTCAGATCCGCCGGACTGCGATATCCAGGGGCAGGACCTTGGAGGGGTACTCGCTGCTCGTCTCAAGACTAATAAGAGGCAACCGTGGCCGTTCAAAGAGCCAGGGCAGGAGCTGTAGCCCACGAGGCCACCCGTGCGCTCCAGACCTTTGCGGCTCTGGCAGACCCCCGTCGACGGCCCGCAGGCGACCCGCGCTGCAGTCTTGTGTTGTCACGAGCGAACAAGCTCCTGGCGCTTCTCCACGGCTTTGAGCCTGTGCGCGACAGATCGAATCAGAACCTCTCTTTTGAATGGAGGAAGACTCGTATTCATCGTGACGCCATGCATTGGCATTGCATGAACTCTGCGGCACGGTGTGACCAAGCTTTCTCAGGGCATGCCTGTCCGTCAGCTCCGAGACTTCATCTTGGCATCCCTGCAACCTGCACAGACGCCCCATCAACCGCTTGTTTTCTGCTTTTTGCCTGGTTGTCCGTGTGCTGCCACCAGGCCTTCAGAAATGCACATGTGCGCTTGAAAGCTATACCGGCTGTTCACCTGTAGATTTACCCGTTCTCGAAGGTTTCTCTCCCGGCTAAACCATCAAAGGAAAAATACACGAGAACCGCCATCAAGGATCAACATCCGTTTGGGAGACGACGAACCCACTAGAAGAATTGAAGGAAATTCGCCTCTGAGTACTGCTGGCGATGTCGTCGGCCACCTGCCACACGACGACTGCTTCTGTCCCCCTTATGTCCCGTACCAGAATCCCGCCATGGCGCCTCCCTCCATAAACACAGATCATGACTAGCCGGCGCCATGAGTCCGAATGAAAGAGAAAGAAACCCTCGACCACCTTCCCTGTCATGGACCTCTGACGACGTAGATTAGCGGCCACGGGGCCTTCTTGAAGCCCTCGTCCATCTTTTCAGAGAGGCCGCGCTCGCCCTTGACGAAGATCCTGGCAGGTCTCTCACAAAGAGGCGACACAAGCTTCGGACCAAGTTGTGCATATTGTGTCCTGCCATGGTCCACCCCTTCCGGAATAAGTCAATCAGTTGATGGAGGACTCCAAAGGTTGCTACCGCAAGGGTCAACTAAAAGTTGGAGACGGCTGAAAATCTTCAGCGCCTGAAAAGATCAGCTAGCTGCGCATGTATTTCTTGCAGTGGCTTGTGCAAGTGTGAACGATTGCAAGATGTCTAAGACCTGGCCACGATCAGACATTCAACGGCCACTCCAACCGGAGCACCACAGCTTGGGGGGAGGAGGCAGCGAATCGAGTGTCTGTGAGGAGCTTTTGGGGAGCGTCGGAGCGTCTGCACCAAACTCTGCACAGAACCTCGTCCCTCCATCAACGAGCTGTATCAAGCGCTATTCAATGCCAGACTAACATGATGCAACCTGCACTACCCGCAAATGTTGCTCAGCCGCTCGAGAGTGCTCATTCGGCTGACCATGGCGACAATTGCAGCCTGGGCAGATTCTAAACGAACTTCGGTGAAAGCTGAGCGAAAGTTCCTCGAACTGATGTGCTTGCATGTCAAGCTCACTCTTCTTTCCGCTTCCGTTTTGGTGCAGCAAAGCCAACGGCACGTGGGCTAAACTTATCTCAGCTCATGCATTGGATCGACTAGTCTGCTTTTTGATTGACGAATCTGTTGTCTCTGTGCTCAGCGTCCGAGTCCTTGAACTCTCTCCTGTGACTGCAAGTTATGCCTCCACCACTAGATGCGGTAGAATGAGAGGCTCAGCCACGGACATCCACGAAGCCCTGTCAGCTGTCGACAATGCGACAAGTCAGTTCAGGACAGACACGAGTGATGCAGATACCTGGCCCCAGAAAAGGCAACCCCTTGCAAAACCCCAGCCTTCAAGCTGGTGAACTCATCCAGAAGCCGCTGTTCCACACTGGTGAGGTCTGCAGCGCACTGCTGCTGAACGTCCTGGCTCCACGTTTAAACAAGAAGAAAACAGAGGCAACCCAAGCCAAAGCACTCCGGGCTCCGAGATTTCCCTACGCGCAGTCTCGAGCCTCGAAGCGCTCCTCGAGCCATTGCAGATCCAAGGCAGGCTCGAAGTTGAGGCCACCCTCGGCTTTCGGCACGTCACCCGTCGTGGTCCTCGAGGGTCCCACCTCTCGACATCGAGGCCCGAGCACCGAAGGATTCTCCCTCGCTGGCCGCCTCAGGGCACCCAAGGGAGTTCCGTGCTCGAACCCCGATCCTCGCTGCCCGGCCCGGCCCACCTTGAAGCATGGAGAGCCTTCCACGTCACACTGTGCCTGCACGCCAGCAGAACGATGTCCCGGGCTTAACCCGTGGGCTGCGCTGAGCCGTGTGCGAAGCGAGCATCATCCACAAACTCATCCACAGCCTACAGCAGCGAGAAGTCCAAAGGATTCGATAAGCGAGGGAGAGCAAAGAAGCCAGTCTGCTCACCTGGCAACCACCGGATTTCAGCCTCGAGACAGTCAAAGCAAAAGTCTTGTGCGATTCGGGCCCACTGGGAATGAGCACAACTTTTTCACAGGCCACGTGAGCCGCAAAAAAACCCTTGGAGCCAGGCACAAGGCTGCCCGTGCGGGGCCTGCGATCGTTGCAAGCTTCTCTCAAGCTGGACGTAGCTCTGTCAGCTGTGGCTGTAAGGCCTGGTGTCGAGGCATTCCTGGCAAAGGCCGCCGCTTACGTCACAAAGCTAACGTTCCTTTCTCCCCTCTGTCCTGCAACTCTTTCACGTCTTGAGTGAGGTTCTGCATCGAGAGCTTCAACGCATCAACCTGTCGGGCCGCGCTGCAAAGCCACCGGATGCCAACGGTGTAACCGCATCGTTTGCCTCTGCCGCCACATGCTTGAGCCATGGACCTGCAAATATGAACCACTAGCGAGATTTCCTGCGAATACCTACACGAACTAACTCATCTTCCAAACTTGGCGCACCATGCCACATGAACACGCTAAGGCTTCGTGCCCTCTGAGACGATCAGGTCATCCGAAAGCTTCATGGAACCAATACCCGGAGCAACCTGGGGCAGGTCTAGATAGGTAATCCGCCCATGGCATGCATTGTGGTAAGAAGCGCTCTGCAAAACGTGCCCCAATGTTTGCAAATGCCCAAACCCTGCCGGGTGAAAAGTCAGGTATTACAAAACCTGCTTACACGTACCATCAAAGAACGAAAGATGTGTCCCCTTGGATTTACAAATCTGGTTTCGTGTGCAACACGAACTGAGAAACACTCTGAAAGCCGTCCCGTAACCACAAACTCCAACGACAAGCTTGCGCTTGAGATGATGCTGCTCCCTGACAGCTGCTTCCTGCCGAGACAGCAGCTTCCGGGCTGTTCTACTGGGCCCGCTGCGTCACTCTTCACTGAGCACACCGGCCTCCAAACGATGTGAGGAGCATGGAGAGTTCAAGCGGGAAATCCGGCAGCTGTCTCGGGCGGCTGCACGACACCGTCCGTTAGCTGCTCCAACATCTCCTGGCAGCTACCAGTGCTCGGGACTTCCAGCATGTCTGAGAGCGCTGAATCTGTCCTGCTGTTTCTGCAAGCGCATGCAGAGTTGCATACGCTCCAAGGATTCGCATCTCACAAACCTGGACAGTGGGAAGACGTTCAGCGGCACCTTTTGGAAAGCCGAGAGCCGCACTCTCGGAGCTCTCCCAAGTCCGCAGTCGGCGACAGGGCCTGGAGACCCCAGACAGCAAGCGCAGTGCATGGGCAGTGCTTGCGGCACGTTCCTGGTGTCCCCTTTCTCAGGCGCACACAAACTTCTCGGACTCTGGCTCCAGGGCCACCTCAGGAGACGCGAGGAGGGCCCCAAAAGATCAGCTCCCTGAGCCCAAAGCTCTGAATTCCTCGCTGACCAAAAAAAGGGCAGACAGCAACTGGAACCCCGGCGGCTGGCGAAAGCACGCACTGAGGCCTGGGAGGCCGAAGGAGGCTTTGGGCGCCCTTTGCACTTTCTTGCTGCGTGTTTCTTTTTTTTAATTCTGTTGCTGTTGGCGTTGCTGATGCTGCTGTTGGGTGTTGGGTGTTAATCGTTAGCTGCTTGTTGTAATGGTGGTTGTGGTGTTCTTGTTCTCCCTCATTTGGCTGCCTGCTTACTGCCAGGATTTCAGACGGATGTGGTATCAACAAACATACATTGCATCTGCATACATGCATCCACGCAGACACACGTCTGCGAGGATCAGGACATTCCAGGCTTGAACTGGTTTGAAGCTTTCATGCATCATGACTGCAGCTGGAAATGCTTTCAGATACTACCATCGATGATTCTACCTGAAGCTTGATCTCTGCATCCCAGGAAACCTCAGCACAAGACGCAGAAACGTGCCGATGCGATCCCGGGAACTTGGTTGCTGCGACGCTGAGAGCTTGCTCTCAACAGCCGCGAGCAGTACCCTTTCCATGATTCCAAGGGCCCGGCTGCTCTGACTCCAAAGTCATCGGCACGAAGCTTCAACAGGGGCCCAGAAGGCGACTTTCTTCACACTCTCGGGACACGTGAAGCCCGGCCTTAAAGCTACCTTCGGGCTTTCCTTTAGAAAACTTTGAGAAGTCATTGAAGCATGAAGTTCCTGCTCGAGATGAGCTTCGAGTCGGCGCGGGCGCACAAGGCCAGATTCAGCTATATTATAGTATGTTAGAGTATATTAGAGTATATTAGAGTATATTATAGCGTATTATAGTATATTATAGTATATTATACTTATAGTATACTATACTATGTTATAGTATACTATGGATGTCTCCAGAAGGCATGGGAACTTGCATTGCACAGCAGTTTAGGAGCGCACCACACGCAGCCACCCCAGAAAGTGCTGAGGTTGTCATGCAACTGAAACGTGGGGACCTGCCAAAGGCTTCAGCTCTAAGCAAGGCTGCCGAGAATTGAACGGTGAATGTCCGGAGGCAGCGGTTTAGTTTATTGGCAGTCTTGTGACTGCACAAGTGCGATTGAGCACATGACACACACACACGTAGCATGAATTTATGCCTGCATGCAGACAGACAGACAGACAGACAGACAGACAGACAGACAGACAGACAGACATGCACATGTGTGCATACATACCTACATACATGCATGCATCCATGCATGCATACCAACATACATGCGGCGCTACACACACACTCTTCCGTACATGCATATGTGCATCTGCACTCATATACATACATGACGCACAATCAGATTTTTGTAACTACATATACAGAAAGACGTGCATAATTCAGACACACATGCAGACATACATTTGTCATGAGTACCTACCTACCCAGTAGCTACCTGCCTACCTACCTGCCTACCTACCTACCTGCCTGCCTACCATTACCTACCATTACCAACCTACATACCTACATACCACAGACAGACGGGTGTGCACTATGAACAACTTGCAAGGCGATTGCTACGTTCCAGATGCAACCCACACATGCTTTGCTATTTGTGTGTACGTCTTGAGCTGACTTTGATGCCGGATTGGTGTTGAGCTTTCTGGGAAATGCTTAGGACTCAGGACTGTTCGTTGTTTCGCCATACCTGTGGGCATACAGCTGGTTGCCATAGCTATTTCATTTCCATGGTTGTACAGAGTTCTCGGATATGATGATCGGCAGGCCAAGTGTTGCTAACCACTTGGTCTGGGTCCGCCTCTGGCTGTTCGCGATTTTCTGTGACCAAAGGACTCACTCACAGAGCACGATTTTCAGGGGACCGCCCGGCAAGCTTGCCACGCCGCCTTGCTCCACATGTAAGCCTGGTCTCTTGGCATCGCCTCAATTCGACAGAGCTGATTATGTGCAGTCAAGACGTTTCTCGGCTTTCCTGGCCAGTCACGTCCTTTCACCTGATCCCTGGCTTAACCCTCGGTCTGTGGCCGCGGCAGTGATGAGCCGCCAGCACGGCGGGGTGCGCAAAGCCAGGAAGAAGAGGAGTCCTGCTTTGAGCAGTAGCAAAGGAGCCGGGAGAGAACGCGCCGGAAAGAACTCGGCCCTTTTGGGGCCAGGCCTAGGGAGTCACCCAGCAGCGCACAGATGCAGGCTTGGCGAGGCTGGAGATGCTCCAAGAACACCTCTTCAGGTCGTCGCTCTTAAAGCCAGACAAAGGGGCTCTCACCCCGAAGTCATTCTGACAGATGCCTGCTCCAATCCGAAGATCCCGTGTCGCCTGCGCCAGCGTAACCGGCAGCAGGACGACCGTCAAGAACAGGACGGCAAGAAGCCTTTTAAGTCACTCTCACAGAATTGAAAGACCGCGAAAGGCCATGGTGCAAGCAAGGGCGACCTCACCAACTTGAAACTTAGTGAGGGGCCTCTGCGATGCCGGACGCCGCCGGCCGACGAGCTCAAACAGCCCCCAGCACCAGTAAAAGTGAGCCTGTGCAGATAAAACAAGTTCTGAAAGAGACACTACCAAATCACGTCTTCGCGCGTGCCCATCTGCTTCAGAACGGAAGCTGGCACACTTGGCATGTCGCAAGCACGCGCGCGATGTGCAATCAGGAGCCCGGCCGCCGTCACCATGGCCTCTGGGATCAGGCCCAAGGTCATTCTCTGAGCCGAGACCTGGCCAAGCTTGGACTTCACTGCCACCGTTGCGAGAGGAGAGCACCAAGGTCCAGGCTTTTGGCCCCGGCACCAGGAACCACCAAGAGGCCTCGAGACTGCACTGAAGCCACGCTGCCACCCAAAAACCAAGCATATCGCGGCTCTCCTCCAGCATAGCGGAGGCCGGACGAATGACCAGCCAAAAGGCGGCAACCGCAGCCGCCTCCACCACATAAAAAAAGCGAGTGCCCTCCCCTCGATGCCCTGGCGCCTCGATGAGCCCGCGGTTGGCCAGGAGCGGCAGCCTTGGGCAACAGGGGCGGGCAGCCCTCTGCTCTGCCTTGAGGCCGGGGACGGCACCCCACGGCCACCAAAGATGGCAGGAGCCCGACGACCGCCTTCTAGCGAGCAGTCGACAAGACTTCCGTCACTTCCCTGTCCTCGACACCCCTTAGAGCAAGGCGGCTGCTCGCCACGGTGACGGAACCTGAGTCCAGGTGCGGCACATGCGGACTCCATGGGCCCAACACGGTGCACAATCGGTACACTGCTGATGCCTCCGTAATCAGGCAGCGGCTAAGTTCTCAAAGCCTAGGTAGAGCTGAGTAAAGATTTCCCTGTAAGTTTCGTTCCGCGTGGCCTGGCGTGGCTCAGTCAGAACATGGACCACGAGACTGAAACCTTCCTGGACCCAGGGCCTGGAGAGCCTGGCCGATTGCCTCGACCTGCGGTATCGCCTCGGGACATCGGAGAAAGGCGCCAGAAAGCTGCATACAGCGAAGTGCACCTGCTGCACGAATGACTTCACACCGCGCTTCTGCAGGAGTTCGAGGGCCTGCGCGAGCATGAGAACAAAGTCATTGAGCTTCTGCAACCGGTTGCGCATGCGAGTTGCCGGAATGTCGCACGTGGTACAGATGGGCACACGCTGAGATATGTCGAAATGCATCTTCCTTGACTCCGTCCGCATCTAGCTGGTGCGTCGGAACCCGTGCATCGCGGCCGGCTCGCTCTCAGCCGCAGCCACTGCCACCTCGGTCGAGGAACAGCTTTTGGAGCTGTGGCATTTCGTAGACAAACCAACTGAAGAGGAGTGGTGCAAAAGTGGCAACGCACCTAGATCCTGAATGCAAATGGCGGGGGCTTTTCGCTCTCCGTGCAGCCTTTCCAAGCATGTCCGACTGTCTAGTCAGCTGGCACCCACGAGATGCGACCTGAGGTAACATTGGATTCTTGCAAAGCGCGTCCATTCCACACATGCCCCTACCTCTCATGTACCTTCTTAAGCATTGCAGGCCTGCAAGTTATTTAGCCGAAGAGGTCGAAGTCCATCTCCTCAAAGCCAGATAAGCCAGATCTACTGGCAGCCTATAACGGCTGCTGAAGCAACTCCACAGCACAGTAAGAGACTGCCACACGTTTGCTCTATGCCATGCGATCTCCTCTTCCTCTTCCTCCTCCACCACGGCCTGAACGAAGCGACATGGATTCTGCAGTGCTTGAACTGTCAAACACCCCGGGACCGTCCTTCTTCTCCTCCTTCTTCGCCTCTGCTGGTGCGCCAGCGGCAGGGCCAGACGCGGCCACCGGGTTGGCCGCGGCGTACGCCTCGGGATCCTCCAGGAACTGCTTCACTTCCTCGACCTGGCGCCATGTCACCAGGGTGGAGCGGCAGAGCGCAGTGGCAAGCTACACACAGCCTTTCAAGAAGACACGCACCTCCTTGAAAGTGAAGTCGATGTCGGCAATCAGGGAGGCGACGTTACGGAAGGCGTTGCCGAACGCATGAGGCAGGCCTGCCTCCGTGGGAATGCCAACCTGAGTCCACGGGCTGAGCACGTCGCAGGTGGCCAGAGCAGGCAAAAGCCTCGCGGCTGAAGGCCGCCATGTTCGCAACGCCTGCCAGGAACCTGAAACAAGTGACCCCAGCTCCGACTTCCGGGCGCTCCGTCAATGAAGCGTCTTCGGACATCTCTGACGAAGGGACTTTGCGATCAGCTGCTGCTCGGACATGTCCAGCACAGCGGCGCTGAAGACCGCACCGTCCTGGAAGACCTCCAGCACCTGCGACAGGATTGCACTGAGCCAAACGAAAGCTCAATTTTGCAATCAAGGTATTTTGGGGTCACCATGGCCGGGGCTTGAAAGAGTCATGAGAACGCCGTCCTACTTCTCTGGCCTCGATCTTGTACTCGAAGGGCCGGATGCCCAGCTTTCCGAGCAGGACCGCTCCACTTGCGGACACCTGTGCCAGGAGCATGATGTGGCATGAACCGGGGCCCCGCTCTGCATTTCTCGCCTTCTCTCCCTGGGCCAGGATCTTGAAATCCGAGACCAGCTCGATCTGTCCCTTCACGATCTTCGTACCGATGTTCAGGGCCTACGACGTCGGGTCACCAAACCTTTGAGAGTCCCAGAGCCGGTGCCTGGAAGAAGGCCGTCTGGGAGGGGTCCATGCCGGTGGGTCCGGAAGGGATGAACCAGTCGACGATGGAGGTCCTCGGATTTTGAAATTGGCTAGTGAGTGTTTGGGATTGAGTATTTTCGAGACTAGGGAAGTATAGCGCCGGCTGTGGTGGTCTCTGAAGTCAAGTCCAAGCGACTGGCCGGACTTGGCAGCTGACTGGCGCGTGTGCTTTGCGAGGCATTCTCGGATGTCATCCAAAGTGCAGTTCCTCATGCAAACAGAACAGCAGCAGCAGGACTGATGCAGGCTGTGAGCATTGCAGGGCGAAGCGCGTTGCGAAGATGAAGCCACGGTTTCCCTGGATGGCCGCTCGCAGCTTGTCGAGGCCGGCCTGCTTGGGAGAGCAGAGTTTCGAGCGGTTCTGACCATGCCCACTCTCAAGACAGCGTACCTCTGGGTGCTGTTCATGACCGATCTCGAGGGCTTTGCGGATCATCGTGTTCTTGCCTGCCGAGATGTCACTACGCATTGCATGTCCCTCGCATGTCGTCACGATGAGCTTAGGTCTAAGTTCAACTCCAAGCCGCCCATGAGAACGATGGCACGGCCACGGAGGTCCATGCGAATGTCCTGCATCTGCTTGGAGGCCACATGGTCCACACCTCACGGCACAGGACCGAGAAGCCGGGTTCTTCAAAAGCCGCACAATCTTGGCATTGCACCTACAAGGAGGGCATTAGGAGTGTTCACGCACAAGTCGATGAGCTTGTTGAAGTACCTGGAAATCGAGGAGTTTCCAACACCGCCATTCAGATCCGTTCGGGACTGCTCTCAATACATTGGGAAGCAGACTTGCTCTTCTTTGCCAGCTTCTCCTTGTTCGGCATCCTGTCGCCAGTTGCGGTGTAAGGCTTAGACAGCCGAAGGCCGCACAGATCTGCACAGGGCGCACCTGTGCAAGTTTCGAGGACCTTCTGGAGCGTCGGGGGTTCAGGCTGTCGTCGAGCCAAATCCGCTGTGAGCGGCAAAACAAGAGTGTGTCTGCTAGGTCCCTAAGTAAAAAACCCACAGACCTCACTCCGTTCCCTCAGAAATCAGCAGACCACATGATCCCTCCGAGGCCAAGGCCATGGCCATTTGCCCATGGAATCGGATCGGCTTGGAGATCCCATGTGGCAGTTTCTAGAGACCTCTACGAGCTCGGGCAGCTGCGAGATCTGCGAGTCACCTCGCCACTTCGCCACGGACCCCGGCAAACCCTCGCAGAACGCTGCTTTTCCGAAGCCTCGACTCTCCAACGCAGCGTGATCGTCCAGACAGCTCTGTCACCGGAAGGTGCGGCTGCGAACAAGGAACGGAAACTTGGCAGCTCTGTGCTTACAATGAAGCATGGCTGGAAGACTTGCTCCGCTGCTCCACATCACCTCTTGGCGTCGCTTCGGACCTTTGCATAGCGCGGTAACTGTTCAGACCAAGTCCCACATGTCGGACCGTGCGACAGACCGCCTATAGTCCTAGAGTTCGAAGAACCATGGAGTTGGAAGCTTGCGCGGACTTTCATATGACAGCCGGCCTCCGCAATGGCGGCGCGAGCCTTGCCCAAGTCACATGCAGCAAGCAAGATCACCTTCGACTTCCCAGCGGCCTGCTCCAAGTATTCTAGGGGATCCTCCAAGCTTTCCTCAGGAGTGCATCGAGTGCACTGACCCAGGCTCTTCACAGTGCCTCTCTGACTGTGACCATGGCTGAGGCTCGAGCCGTGATTTTCTGCAAAGCTGCGCCCGTCTCCTTCCGAGACTCCACCTGCTGCCAAGGCCAAGCCCCTCAAACGCGCCCACATGGTGAGTTACGGGACGACGGCAAGTTTAGTCCACCCTGTCCCGGACCTGTGCTTTGTCGGCGGAATTAAAATAGAACGCTCGCTTTGTAAAGCACCACTCCTGTTCAATCTAAACAGCAGCCAAGGCGGCTAAGGGCTAAGGCATGTTAAATCACATCCTGTCTCTGACTGACTCTGTGAGGATCGGCTCCTCGAGCTGCTGAAGGGTTCCACGCGCAATCACCAGCGAGGAGTCACACCTAAGGAGAGATCCGTGCACAGAAATTTGGCAGAGTCAAGTGGGTTGATCCAAGCTGCACTTTGCTGTTCTTGCATTGGTCCGCCCATGCACCAAAAGGCTGGCCGCCCACTCTCGACGGAGAAAGCACCTCTTTCTGTGTAGACTGCTCGGTGCTCTGAGCTACAGCAACATTGGAGCCGAGCTGCGATCCCTATGGAACCCACCTTGGCCAGAGCTCACGACCCATGCACCGCATCGGTCGTCAAAGCAAGAAAGCAATTGCCAAGACGCCGATGGAGAGACGAGGAGGTTCCTGTGTGCCAGAGAACGTGAAGAGAAGAAAGACATGCAACAGCCATTGACGGCCCTTGCCCGTGTGCCTGACTCCATCGAAATCTCCCTGCTTCAGCATGCTCTCGACACCCCCGAGCGAGGCCAATGCAGCATCAGCCGCAGCCGACAACGACAAGCCTGGTCGGATGGCAGTGCACAATGCCGCACAATGCAGCAGAGGATTGGGCCTTTTTGCTGGAACCATGCCGTCTGCACAGCGTACCGGTTTGCCTCTCCGGGCTGCAAGAACTTACGAGCTCTGGGCTTCCACTCTTGCAGCGCCACCTCGACCTCCTCCTTCGTCAGAGAGATCTTTGCTCCGTTTCCCTTGGAATCCAGAAGCTGCTCCAATCAAGAGCCACCAAAACAAGCTCCTTCATTCATGTGGATCCTCGCAGCGAAAGCCTCCCACCTCGTAGAACTCCTCCATCATCGGAATTGCCGCCTGTATTCGTCGGAGCTATGCCAATTGCGCATGACGTGGTTCTCCACAATACTGCCAAAGCGAACATAGACATAACATGTACCATACACAACATGCAATCTGATATTCACATGACATCGCCTTTGTTTGGCTGATTTAAACCTACATTCCTAAGAGGGTGCGCGCTTATGATTATTTTGAGACCGGGGACAAAAATAAGAATAAGGCAGGCCGGGGGGAGGAACAAAAACAATAATACAGGGTCGCCGGGCTCCATCCATTATTTGTTCGCGTGCTTCCTGATTCCTGCACATTCTCGGGTACTTGGCGCCTGCGCGGCAGCTGGGGCAAGGGCCAGCAGCCAAGCCCGCCGGCCCTGAGCAGTGCAAGCGGAAGGGCAATGGACGAGGGATGGGACTTCCAAGTTTCAAACCTTTACGGGCTTCTGTGTGCACCGTATTGTAGCATACTTGACTTTGGAAGCTCCACGATCGAAGAAGGATGGGGAAGAGTTCGATGCACGTGAGGCTGGCGGGAAAGCGATGGTGAGGTTCCGTGCAGGCAAGAACATAGACATAGACATCAACACGTCCGAGCGGAACACCAGTGCAAGCGGGATTCTGCTTCCACGAGCGGTGCCACGTTGGCTGGCTTGCGGCTGCCCGAGATCAAGCTAACTCGGCCATACAAAGGAAGAGTACGGTGATCCGGATCCCGGGGGCCGTACGTGGTGAATGTCAGAGCAC